AGTCCCTTCTCTTCCTTTGGGCTGCCTCCCTGGTGCTCTAGCATAAGCTTGATAAAACTTGTCTGGAAATTTCTTTGGGGATATCTTGAGTTCTATCTTGTGGAACCCAAGAACCCCAATGCTAGAACAATCCCAACTGTGTAAAACAAAATCAAACAAAAAACACACATTCAGACAAAAGATGGAAAAAAGACATCTACTAAAATGTAAGGCGGGGGAGCACAGGGACTCTGCCCCGGAAATGGAGGATGGGTTGGGAAGCCCAAGGACCGTGCAAGAGCAGCAGCTGCACTGTGGCCGCCCAGTCAATGTATGTCACCCTGGCAACCAGGAAGGGGCACCCACACCGGCCACGCAGATATTCTGGGGGAAGCCTTTAAATAGGAGCATGTGGAACTGTGGTCCTGTTTGGGTCTCCCCTTCTTCCTGGCTTCAGGGGGTGGAGTACCTGTGTCCGGGCCTAGGGGACCATGTGGTCCAGGAGTGTTCCCAGGGCCCGTATCCTGCAGAGGAAGCTGCTGCCATCACCCACGGTCTGCCCACGCCCCCAGCGCCAGCCTGTTAGTGTGCTGCTAGCGCTCCACCTGCTCCAGTCCAGGCAGGCCTAGGGGATGTTTGTTGCCCCTCCTGAAGGCAGCACAGCAAGAAGACAGGTGTTAAAAGGGAAGACACCAGAAACGGGGGACCGTGGACACCTTGTGGCCGGGAGACAAGCCCAGCCGCCTCCACCCCCCGCCCCGCTATGGAAAGCCACAGCACTAAGTGAACTGTGCCATGTGACGCATTGGAGGGCAGCACCCAGAGGAAGAGGACAGCACACCAGGAGCTGGACGCCTGGAGCATGGGCTCTGAAAGATGCCTAAAGCCAGACAGCAACTGGAAAACAGCTATGCCACCTGTATTTCTTAAAGGACGATACTGTTCTGTGGGGGAAGAGGTTCCTGGAGCAACCTTGAACTGAGCTAGCGGCAGGGTGATTTTCTTTGGGTGTCTTAGAAGAAAGAGCTTTGAGGCAGAAACCTGTCATTATTTCAAACTGTATAGACTTTGAATAAAAGATTCCTTTCCTTTCCACCAAACTCTGCCTCCAGAGTTTTTGCCTGTTGACAAGTGAAGGACCCCACTGGTTGTTTGGTAGAAAAAAAAATTTACTGTGCTCGTCTCTGATTAGTAAGATTATAATTTTTTTCTCTTCTATACCTCTTATTTTCTAAATTTTATGTAATGAATACGTTACCTTAAAAGTCAAAAGAGAAAAGGTTATTTCAAAATCTATTGCTATGTATGCTATAGTCCAGGGTGTATAACCAAGAGAAATTGCTTGCTAATCATTGAGGAAGTACACTTGTGAATGGCCAGTGTTTGCATTTTAATGCATCACTGTATGGGGGAAAATGAGAAAGAAATCTTGTTCAACATATCTTATTAGTCTATTATAAAACCAACCATAGGCCCTGGCTGGTGTGGCTCAGTGGATTGAACACTGGCCTGCAAACCAAAGGGTCACCGGTTTGATTCTCAGTCTGGGCACATGCCTGGGTTGCAGACCAGGTCCCCAGTAGGGAGTGTGCGAGAGGCAACTGTAGATTGATGTATGTTTCCTCTCCCTCCCTTCCCACCAAAAATAAATAAATAAAATAAAATAAACAACGTTAGGCTCCAATTGTATCAGTCATTACATGTAATATTACATACGTGATCACAACAGAAATGTGGGGATCTGTATCCATAACATCAGTTCCTAATGAGTTTATTGTCTACTAATCCTATATGATATCACTATTTAAAATGCAGCTTGATGAGACCAAGAGGAAATCATAGAATCCCTATTATTTTTGGGACCCCAGGTATGATTTGAAAACCATACTCAGCTCTAAAGAAATGTTCTGAGCCCTTTTGAAACTTGCTTGTTCCTAGCAATAGGGAGATCAGTAGTTTGAAGGAAAACGTTACTACGCTGATGGTATTTATTCAATAAATGTTCACCATGAGTTAAAGGGTAGAATGTGTAATGGGGACAGGTAATTCAGCCTGAGTAGCTTTTCAAAGCAAGTGCCACTGAGCTGGTTTCTGAAGGATCAATAAGGGAGAAGAAAGGGAAGAAGTTCCAGGCAGAAAAAACAGTGTATGCAAGGTTAGGAAGGTATTATAAAGTGTTAGAAAATATTTTGACATTGCCTGGCTTTCTCACACCCATTCATATGAGGCAGTATATGTATTTTTTAGTGTCAAGTGAAGGTAATGGACTGGGAAGATTCCTTAAAGTTCTTTATTTGAGAATTCTATGATGATGTATTGAAAATTCTGTTGTGCCATAGGTGTTTGCCATGTATAATTCCAAATGCAAATAGCCAAGCAAGATAAGAATTTCAAAAATTTGCAAATAAATTCAATTTGAAACAAAATATACTATATAAGTATGGAAATATGTGATATTTTTATTAATTTTTCGAACACTCCAAAAGTGAAGATATGAAAAGATTCCTTTGAGTATCCAGTTAGTTTTCATTGTGTTATACTAAAATACCATTTCACTCTTACTTCATTGCTAAGAAGGTAGTTTATAAACAGAAGGAATACAGTTTAAAATAATGATGATAAGAGACAGGAAAAAGGGATATCTTTCAGAGACTATTGTGTTTACTTTAAGCATTTTTCATTTATAGAAGAAACACTTGACTGTAGACTTTTTAGAAAGTAGTTATTTTTGTAATAACTTTATTAAAATATAATTCATATACTGTAACTTAAATGTACTTAACTAAAATAAAAATCATGGCCTGACTGGTGTGATTTGGTGGGTTGGGCATTGTCCTGCAAACCAAGGGGTCACTGGTTCCTGTCTTGGTCAGGGTACGTGCCTGGGTGGCAGGCCAGGTCCCCGGTTGGTGCTGTGCAGGAGGTGGCCAATTGATGTTTCTCTTTCTCCCTCCCAACCTCTCTTCCCCTCTCTCTATAAATAGAATCTTTAAAAGAAATCATGCGTACTCTTACCAGATAATACATTAAATATTTTGGTATACATCTTTTAATCTTTTTTAAAGTAGATTTTTCTTGGAGGTAAGAATCCAATTTGAAGCTACTATCCAAAAAATGAAAGTATTAATTAGACAAAATTTCACTGATTAACAAGAATATGTGTCAAAATATACCCACAATAATTACTTTGTAGAAAAGATTCAAATTTTCTGCAGTAGTTACCTTGGAAAAGATGGGAGGGGGCTTAGGTTTGTTGAGGGAATAGTGAGGCAAAAGATATTTTAACTATCTTTAATGTTCTAATTTTTAGAAAAGAATAAATTCTGTGTATTGCTTTTTTAAAAATATTTTACTGATTATGCCATTACACTAGTCCCATTTCCCCCCTTTATTCCCCTCCACCCTGCACACCCCTCCCCCACCATTCCCTCCCTTTAGTTCATGTCCATGTGTCACAAGTTCTTTAGCTTCTACATTTTCCATACTATTCTTGCCCACCCCCTATTTTCTACCTACTGTCTATGCTGCTTATTCTCTGCCCCTTCTCCCTTCTTCTCCTCCTCCCACTCCCCTGTTGCTAACCCTCCATGTGATCTCCTGATCTAGCTGTCCTCTTAGTTTGCTTGTTTTAGGTGTGGTTGTTAATAACTGTGAGTTTGCTGTCCTTTCACTGTTCATATTTCTTATCTTCTTTTCCTTAGATAAGTCCTTTTAACATTTCATATAATAAGGGCTTGGTGATGATGAACTCCTTGAACTTGACCTTATCTGAGAAGCACTTTATCTGCCCTTTTGGAACTTTTACTGAATCTTAAAAAAACGTGCTTAGAGTCCAACAATTTAACGATCATACATTGAAGACCTATGTATTTTTTAAATGTTCAGGACTATTTGGAGTTAAAGTAACAAATACTTCATTAGGAGATTAAATAATTAAGCTGCATAATTGTGTTTACATCTTTAAAGCATGTACAATTCACCTGGGATTTGGTGGCTAAATAATAGTGTTTCCTCACTGTGATAGCCTATTTAGAAAAGAGCCTTTTCTCCTCAGGAAATGAAAGGAAACGGAAATCACAAGAAAGGTTTTTAAATACTTTTAGCAAAATAATCCACACCATATCAAATTGTAATGGGAGACAACCCCCAGAATTGAGGATGGGTGGAGATGCTCCAAAGACAGCTCATGAATTCATTGCCCTAGCGACAGGGATGGCCTGTGTATGATGCAGCAAAATGAGGTGTATAGGGACTGGTGCCAAAAGCTGGGAGGGTAATTGGGTGGGAAGGACATACTGTCCTACCTATTTCTACTGTGCTGGGGGATTATGAAGGCAGTTTTAAAAAGTGGAACATGTGGAAAATGCATGCTTTTGCTCCCCCACCCCCTGGCTGGTGACCGAAGTTCCTGAGTGGTGGGCCTTGCCAGAAGGATTCCCCATACCCATTCCTGAGCATTCCAGGGGCTGCCTAGACAAGAGAACAGCATGTTCGTGTAAGAGGGCAGAGGGGATGCTTGGGCTGGGAGCTCAGAGAGCGTGGCTGGCTGGAAGCCCCACGTCCCTTCCCCAGATAGGAAGCCACGGTGGCTGTCTCCTGCCTGCAGCCCACACCAGCGCATGCCGGTTGTGTGTGGTCCCGGCATAGCCAGGGGACAGGCCCCATGCCCCTCCCTGACTACTCCAAGCTGATCAGAAGGGCTGTGGGCACTAGGCTGTAAGAAGGGAGGCAAGGAGGCTTGGACCAGTGAGTCCAGGGAGGTGGGTGGCTGGGCAGCAAGCCCCACGCCCTTCCCCCATGCAGGACGCTATGGGAAACCAACGTGGTGGTCATGTTCCCCCAACTAGGAGGAGGCCCCATCAAGAAACCTGCTGTACATATTGTAAATAAAAATTCCTTTTCCTTTACAGCCATCTCTGTCTCGGGAGTTTTTTCCTATGGGCAGTGAGCAGTAGGACTCAAGTGGTTGTTTGGTTACAAAACTCCTTTAGAACACGGTTAATCACAGTGAAGAATAAAACTGAAAAGTAGAATTCACTTTAATTGAGGCTGTAATGTAAAGGTCAGCACAACTTAAAAGGTGTATCATAGGAAATCAGAGCAACTTCCAGTAAATTCTAGATTGGCAAACAAAACATCATTACAATAATTTTCCAGTGACTCTTTGTTTCAGTATGCCAATGTAAAGTAGATTCCCATATACATCTGAAAGACAGCTAGAAAATATGTTAACAAATAATCAATTTGAGATAATTTCAGCTCAGAGGTCAACTAAAATATATAAGGTGCACATTTTTAGATATGATAGATGTCTCTTGCTTTTACTTAAAAATAATTTTTTCCATGCATCCTAATGGTCATACAAGAAAAACATTTACTTTTTTTTTCATTACTAACACAATTGTAAGTGGTAAGTAATGGAAGAAGTCCAGGATACTACACCTGTTCAGGCTTCCACACACATCAGTTTCAACCACTTAAAGTGGACATAACATTTGGATAACTGACAGTGTCATTTCGCTAGCACAGCTGAGAACCATTTTTTAATTTTATGACTTTTGGTCCTCATACTAGTATACAGAAACAAAATTCATATTTTCATATAGGATCCAGTTCAAGACATCAGTTCAATATACACCAATACATAGGGGCACTGTATTGAATAGCTTCATTGCTCAAGAAGCTCCAGTCAGCAGAAGAAAGGAACGGGTAAGTTCTATGTAGTCCTGTCTTTCACTAGAACATGTTGGCTGTTACAAAAGAGTAGGTGAGATGAAAAATGCAGGCTTCCACCACAACGGAATATGGCAGGAGCTGTCATTTTCTCTTTGCCACTATAATTATTCTTCTTAGGATGAAACTTGAAAATGTAGCTGACTTTACCACAGTTTCAACCTTTGTAAATCATATAAAGTTCATTCCCTGGGCCAAAATCCAGAAGCAGCTGTTGGGAGCAGAAGAGCGATAAGGATAGAAGAAAACAGATTCACCGCGTTGTTATCAAGAATTGGCTTCCCTGCTATGTACTTCACCTCTTTCGCTGGTCTGTTGACCACCATGCCAGTGCTTTCATCCCAACCTAGAGTGGAGAAGCCAAGTGAGGGCCAAGGTCCAAATTACTTAAAAACAACAATAACAACAATACCACCACCACCACAACAACAAAAACCAAATGACTTGATTTTTAAAAAGTAGCTTTTCTCCACAAAGGAAATAATATTTGAAAAATTCGCAGACACTTATAAAATGACTTTAGTGGATAATCTATATGGTGAGAAATATGGAACCCTTGAATACAAAAGGCCTCTTTGAATAGATAGGTTGCAGTACCACTCAATACTGTTCTTTCAATACTGCTTGAATTCATTCAGAAGTAGAAGAGAGAATATGTAAAGCAGAAATGTCATGAAGCTGGCAGGCTGGCCCTGCCTACCCAGTGCTTTCCCTCCCAGACCAACCTGTGAGGCCCCTGAAAGCAGGGATCACGTCAGCAGCCTCTGCCATGGATGCCCAGGACCTGGCATGGCTCCAGCACAAAGGAGGCATACCTAGAGTTACTAAATTATTTAACTGGTCCACCACAACTATTTTTCAACCCACTCAATATGATCAAAAATTCTCCCAGTTAGAGCTCGGTTTAGAGTAAAATTTAGGCTCTTTAAAAGAACATGTTTCTATGTGTAGAGTTATTGCGCCTTTAGTGTGAATTCAAATCAGATGGATTCCTCCTCTGCATCATGATGAGACTAACAAAACTGAGAGAACAAACATTTTCACTGGTGTGGGGGGGGGGTGTGGTGGAGGGAGCAGAAGGGCAAGTAGAGTATCTTGGGGCGTGAACAGAATTGAGAGGACTGTACTCAGGAGAACTCTCCAGACTTCCAGCCTCTTCATCGTATGAATCAAAGGGGAAAACACAGTTGACTAGAGTCTGAAGCAAATATACACCTAACATAATATATGAGTACACCGATGTGACATGAGGGCCTCAGAAGCAAAGCACAGAAAACTTCTGGGAAAACTGACTCTCCCATATTTCTTAAGCAGTGCTAAAAACTCAGCAAAGAAGGAAGCAAGCATGATGTCACAGTAGCAAAGTAGGTCATACGTGTACAGTCACGTTAGTATGACAATTATCTCAGACTTGGACACCAATTGGAAGGAGGGAGCATGAAAGTGATTTGATCCCAGATAGTCTGCTTTCCTGGGAGTACCTGGGACTTTCCTGCTAATGGGTGGAGTCCCAGTAGCAAAACCACATGTTCCCTGCACTAGCACATCCTCCTTACACAGCTTCTCCTCATTTCTCGGCAGGACTGATTCTCTTTCAATCAGCTTAACAAGAAAGAATCAGAAAGTCAAAACTATAGAAGAGAGTTTGCCCAATAATTCCTGGTCTTTCACTCCTGGTGTCTTTGGGATTGACTTCCTTATCCTATGTTACTTTCTTTAATATATCAATAAGTTGCAACATTAAGGTAAAGTTCTTACCTGTATATTGCATTGTAGCTCCTAAATATGAGTCCACAATTGACCCTAGTAATCCAGCTATACCCCCAAATACAATAATTGGCCACTGGGGAGCAGAAATGTCCAAATCATTAACAAAAACCAACTGTGTGAGGAAGAAGGCAATGCCCACAAAGGTACCACCAAGAAGACTCGAAGTGAGGCCCACCATCGTAACCCCTCCATTGGTACCTGAAGAAGAAACATGAATAAAATCATCTGGTTAACAATCAGCAAATGCACAGTGGCAAGGCAAGGAAAAAATGTCAGTACATTTGCAATCAAGAGTAATTTTAGAAAAGAGTTCTCTTTTATTTAATCCAAATATCATAAGAACATAGCCTACTTAGAAAAGTCTTTTCCCCTCAACTGCTGACATTCTTTTTTAAATTAATTTATTTTTTTATTGATTGTGCCATTACAGTTGTTCTATTCCCCCCTTCATTCCCCTCCACCCTACCCCCCCGTCCCCACCATTACCCCCCTTTAGTTTATGACGTGTCTCAAGTTCTTTAGATTCTATATTTCCCATACTATTCTTGCCCCTCCATCTATTTTCTATCTACTGTCTATGCTACTTATTTTCTGTACCTTCTCCTCCTCCCACTCCCCTGCTGCTAACCCTCCTTGACATCTTCATTTCTATGTTTCCATTCCTGATCTGGCTGTCCTTTCAGTTTGCTTTTCTTTTAGGTGTGGTTCTTAATAACTGTGAGTTTGCTGTCCTTTCACTGTTCATCTTTTTAATCTTCTTTTTCTTCGATAAGTCCCTTTAACATTTCATATAATAAGGGCTTGGTGATGATGAACTCCTTGAATTTGGTCTTATCTGAGAAGCACTTTACCTGTCCTTCCATTCTAAATGAAAGCTTTGCTGGATAGAGCAATCTTGGTTGTAGTTCTTTGGATTTCATGACTTGGAATACCTCTTTCCAGCCCCTTCTTGCCTGTAAGGTCTCTTTTGAGAAATCTGCTGAAAGTCTGATAGGAACTCCTCTGTAGGTGACTGTCCCCTTATCTCTTGCTGCTTCTAGGATTCTCTCCTTGATTTTAATCTTGGCTAATGTAATGATGATGTGCCTTGGTGTGTTTCTTCTTGGGTCCACCTTCTTTGGGACTCTCTGAGCTTCCTGGATTTCCTGGAAGTCTATTTCCTTTGCCAGATTGGGGAAGTTCTCCTTTATTATTTGTTCAAATAAGTTTTCCACTGGTGGCTGTGCCTTTCCCCCTTCTGGTACCCCTATAATTCGGATGTTGGAGCGTTTAAAGATGTCCTGGAGGTTCCTAAGCCTCTCCTCATTTTTTTGAATTCTTGCTTCTTCACTCTTTTCTGTTTGGCCATTATTTCCTTTCTTCTGGTCCACTCCATTGATTTGAGTCCCAGTTTCCTTTTCATCGCTATTGGTTTCCTGTGCAATTCCCTTCATTTCAATTAGTTTCGCCTTCATATGTTTGTCTAATTTGTGGCTATAATCAGCCAGATCTGTGAGCATCCTGATCATCAGTGTTTTAAACTGTGTGTCTGAGAGTTGTGCTATTTCTTCATTGCTTAGATTTATAGGCTCTGGGGCTTTGAGTTCTTCTTGAGCCATTTTTGGTCTGTTCGCACCTGTTAAGTTTGAGGAGCGGAGCCTTGGACTCCCAGGTCACTGGGTTGTGATGCTGTATGTGGGGGCGTGGTCAGAGCAGGGAAATGGTGACCCCCTCTTCTGCTTCTTGCCGCTGGGTGAGGAGCAGAGCCTTTGGTGGTTCCCCAGGGCAGGGTCACTCAGGTCGCTGGGTTATAACGTTGTATGTGGAGGTGGGGTCAGGGCGGGGGAAATGGTGGCGCCCTCTGCTGCCACTTGCCACTGGGGCCTGCTGGGACCCGTCCACTTGCCTACTCCCTCGCTTGTCTATCTGCGCACAAATGTGCGACCACAGTCAAATATCGGCCCTGCTCGCTCGTTGTTTCCCCGCGGTCGCTCACTTGGTCGCTCACTAGGTCGCTCACTAGGTCCAACCCTGCGCCTGGGTTCCGCATGCCCGAGTCCGTCTGACCGAGTTTTCCTGGGCAACCCCGCTCCACCAGCTGCTGGTTTCCCCCCTCTTACCGGTCAGGCTGAAGAATTTGTTGTTATTTTTTTTTCCGAAAAGTTCAATTTTCTGTGTTCTGGCTGTGTTTCTGTTGCTATTATTTAGTTGTCTCTAAACTTGGTTGTGTGAGAAAGCACGGCGTCTCCACCTATGCCTCCATCTTAACTGCTGACATTCTAAGCAGCGAAGTATAATGGTTCAGTGGAGCCACACGGCCTGGCTTGAATCTCAGTTATGCCATTTCCAAGCTTTGTGACTGTAGTGAAGTTATCTACCTTCTCTATGCCTTAGTTTCCTTGTTTGTAAGACAGAAATAAAAGAACCCATCCACACAGTTATTAATAGTTCTTACTGGTAATCCATGTAGAGCAGTGCCTTGCACATAATAGGTACTCGGGTATGTTAGTTCTTCATGATCATGATGATAAGGAAGAAAAAAAAAGGAGAAAAGAAGGAGGAGGTGTAGGGAAGAAGAGAAAGGGGAGGAGGAGGCGATGACAAAGCCAAAAAAAAAGTTGTGGCCGATAATGGTAATGGGGAAAGAAGATACATGTTAAAACACTGACCACATTAATAGACCCTGCAAGAATAATCTACTGTTCCCTTCCTTTAGTGATATGTCTGTGACTCAATCTCTGTGTTTCTGGATTGTTTATCTAGCGTTTGCTAACATTTCCCCCAAATATTTATTATTACCCATTTAATAGCCTATAACAACTTTCCAATTAACGAGACTAAGGCTCTTAAATAAGAAATACAATACATCAAGGTATTTTTGTTCATTTTTTAAAAAAGAAACTTAAATAAAGACTCACCTACTGGAACTTTCTCCCAGGTTGTTATTAGCCTTGGTGAGCTTTTACTGAGAACGGTGCCAACTTCTGAAGCCCACGTGTCCCCAGCACAGCAGGCCAGTGCAGCCAAGAGAGACAAACACATCCAAGAAGCAGTGTACTGCTTGGAAAAATCTATCGGGATTTCCCCGGGGCCATTTTCTATCATGTACAGTAGGGCCAGCTCTGTGGGTACAGCTCCGTTACAGAACACCTGAACCCAATTTCTCTGCCCACCTAGAAGCGAACAAGTAGAAAAAGAAGACAAGAAATGTTTTCATCTCAGAAGGAAAATTATGCTGCTATAGGAACTTATATATTTGAATGTTTAAGAAATTAAAAATGACTAAAGATTTTAAAATGACTAAAAGTGGATGGCACCTTTGCCCACATTCTATACTGTTTTAGAATAATTACTGAAAAGACTTTGGTGCTTCTAAAATTTTGCTGTTATTGTGATAGCTGTTATTGTGATAAACTAAATTAGGCTGCTACTTAAAGTAATCTTCATATCAAATTTATCTGTTTCAATAGTCTAAATGTGTTTTGATTAAAAGCTTATATGTTACAGTGAAACAAAGTTACATTTTAAAATAATGTCAAACATAATTAATTTACCTTCTTTATATTCTGAATCTAGACGCTTCTTTGCTTCTCCTTTCCATTTAGTGAGTTTTGAAGAAGAAAGGAAAAACATCACCAGAGAGGTAAAAAAGCTGAAATTTGCAATGGTTAGAATAAATCCAACTACCAGCCCTGAAAGAAACACATATACACATAGAATTATACTTAGTTCATACATTAATACTGTAAAAAATGGATTTTTTCAGTTATTTTCATGTTATAACTTGAAATGTACATTTCCAATACCTTTCCATTTTTACTAATTAAGATATTACCAAACAGTGAACTGAATGTCATTTTGATTGAGATGTATCTCTTACTGTATTTTGATTTCCTTCCAAACAAACTATGCTATATAAATTTAAGATATTATTTTAGAAACACTTCTTATAATGGACTTACAGACCACAATATGATTTTATTGTTATTAAATAATATATGTTATATATGTCATATATACTATTTAGATAAATGGCTAGTCTGAAAAAATTTCAAATTAACTGTAAATCTCTCAGAGGAGGTAAGACTATAATGTCTTTCAGGTTTCTATTTTTTTTTCACATTTCCCTCCACAGCCTGGTATTTATTTTCCAAAATATAAGCTTTTTATGCTTTTCTAAGAATTTTCACATACTTTGTGTTGAGCCTCACAAACTGTATGATACTGTACTATGAAGATACTGTACTTCTTACCTAAGTTTCCCTACTTAAACCTATGAAAACAATTTTGGATTGCCTGTGGAACCAAAAATGGAATAATGGAATATATTCTGTGAACGTGATTTTAGACTTTGAGACTTTTCTCTGTTTCTTTTTCTTTTGGGTAAACAAAGGAGAAAGGGTTTATTCTTCATTTTCCCATGAGTGTCCAATATCCAGGAAGGCTTCTAAAATTTACGGTTCAGTCAGGAAAACAAACAAAAGGGAAGTTTACATTTCATGACACAGAAGAGGGGGAAAAGGAAAGATGTGTTCTTGCTATCACAGCAATATGGAAAGAGGCTCTGACATCAGTTGCTAGATCAAATATATGCTTGAGACTTAAGAACTTGCTATGGTTTGTTTAAGTAAAAAATTATAAAGCCTCACCACAGGTAATTCTATAAGGAAAGTGCAAACATATGTTGAAATTAGCTTTTGAAATCACACAGAAGTTCCTTAAAGGCCTTTTGTTACAAAATATAAAAGTGTTATAGTGAGTAAAAATTGGTGTTGAGGTAGCAAAGTACTCTCAATTATATTATTACCGTGGTAATTTAATCCTATAAAAATGAGTTGGAGAGAGGATTCTGGGAAGGTGGAGGAGTAGGAAGCACCAGGAATCTGTCTTCTCACCCAGACAACAAATCAACTGGAAGAATCTGTCTGATAAAACTATTTTGGAACCCTAGAGTCTGTCAAAGGCTTTTAACTTTCAGGGGAAGGTGTGGAAAGGAAACTGCATTTAATTTTTATTAATTTCAGCTCTTAGCTAGGTAGTAAATCCCCATCTACCACCCTCAGTAATGTGGCAGGCAGTACAGGAGTTGTAGGAACAGATTGAAGACAGTTTGTGGGAGTCAGACGGGCAATAAGGACCTTGTTTCGAAAATATCAGGATTCGTGTTCTGATCACTGACACTCCAGTGCAGTTGTGACCGGCCTGGTGCGGTGGCATGTGCCTATAGTCCCAGCTACTCAGGAGGCTGAGGCAAAAGGATGGCTGGAGCCCAGGAGTTCTGGGCTGTAATGTGCTATGCCAATTGGGTGTCCGCACTAAGTTGGGCATCAATATGGTGACTTCCTAAGAGCTTTAGGCACCAGGTTGCCTAAGGAGGAGTGAACCGGCCCAGGTTGGAAACGGAGCAGTTCAAAACTCCAATTTTAAAAAAGTAGGCCCTGGCTGGTGTAGCTCAGTGGATTGAGCTCGGGCCTGCGAACTAGACAATCGCGGTTCAATTCCCAGTCAGGGCACACGCCTGGGTTGCAGGCTGGTTCCCTGCAGGCCAGTTCCCAGCAGGGGACACACAAAAGGCAACCATACATTGATGTTTCTCTCCCTCTCTCCTTCCCTTCCCCTCTAAAGATAAATAAATAAAATCTTTATTAACAAAAAAAAAAAAAAAAAAGTAAATGTATTTGCCAGTAGAGAAAAAACTGTTTCTGATAGTTGTGAATGTGTTCATAAATTTGTCAATCTAAAGCATGCTATAAGTGGGATCGGGGTGTGACATGTTAAAGAAATATTAAGAATCCTCCTTGTTTATGCCAGAGCTGTGACCTTTATTGTAAAACTGAAATGTGGGTGTACTGTCTCCCGGGGAGAACTAGCCCTTCTCCACAAAAGACTAAGTACCACTTTTTAACTCAGTACCTGTAAACACTGATTGTTTCCTTGGGGAAAAACTGGCTATTCTCCCGAAGGGAATGGTTACTCAATCGAGTCACAAAAGGTCCTTGGTGCACAACCACTTTTGTCTAAAACATATTTTTTCCGAGCACCTGCCCCCACATCTTTCCCACTTTTCTTGAAAACTCTGAACCTAGGAGCTATTGGGTCCTGAGAACAGGGCCATTAACTTGCTGCTTAAACTCACTGCAGCCTGCAGAAACAGCAGGGGGCCTGTCTTTCCAAGCCCTTAGCAAGGCACCCCCATCTACAGGAGTTAATCCTCAAGGACTAGGTTCTCAAATAATTTGGCAAACAGATGTCACTCACTGCGCTCTCTTTGGAAAATTCAAATATGTTCATATTTCTACTGATACTTACTCTAATGCCCTACACGCATCTGCTCTAACAGGAGAATCTGCTAAAGATATACAAGCCCGTTGGCTTGAGTCATTTAGGACAGCCTCAGCAAATTAAAACTGCTAATGGCCCTGGATACCTTGCACATTCTACTCAGATTTTTCTTCAGAGTTGGAATGTCAAACATAAAGCAGGAATAACTTACAATCCAACAGGGTAGGCAATTGTAGAGCAGGCTCATCATACTTTTAAAAGTCTTCTTAAAAAACAGAAAAAGGGTCCTGGCTGGCGTAGCTCAGTGGATTGAGCGTGGGCCTGCAAACCAGACGATCACGGTTCGATTCCCAGTCAGGGCACATGCCTGGGTTGCAGGCCAGTTCCCAGTGGGGGGACACAGGAGAGGCAACCACACATTGATATTTCTCTCCCTCTCTCCTTCCCTTCCCCTCTAAAGATACATGAATAAAATCTTAAAAAAAAGAAAAAGGGGAGTCATGGGTCCTTCCCCCCAAAATTTGATTTTATTAGCCACATCTACCTATAACTTTCTAAATTGTGATGAATCACTTTGTACTCCAATTAAGAAACATTTTCAGAAGAAAGAGCCAAAGTAATCTCATCCTTAGATTTTTTTAGAGATTCACTGGGAGATGGCAAGGCCCTGTAGATCTCTTAACATGGGGAAGAGGGTATGTATGTTTCCATCACTACAGGTCCTGTCTGGCTGCCAGCCAAAAGATTAAAGCCTTATCATAAGTGGACAGACACCAAGCTCAGCTACCTGAAGCTGAGAGAACCAATCGACCGACAGACCAGATGGCCCAGCTGACCCTGAACAACCAGAAGGAAAACGGACACTCGCACCATCACTCACGGGCCTGGGTCTGCCAGTGGAGAAGGATGGAGCCTGCTCCAAAGGGGCTGAAGCTGTAGCACCTCTTGCAGAGGACATCAACTCCTTGGTGCCCCATGGTGTTCAATGATTGAACACCAAAAACTGGTTCAATGGACTGAATTTATGGGTTTGGGTCCTGAGAGCCCTTGGGTGCCCCCTTGTCTTAATTCTTGTTTGTGCTTTATGATATATATATAGAGGTTGTTTTCTTAAGATTGCGCTGGGGAATAGCAAATAGTAGGTTTCACAGGCTTAACAGCTACAATTGCATTTATAAATGAAAAAGGCGGGAGATTAGATGTTGGGAATCACCCTGCCTGGTTTCAGAAGCTGTAACCCCCCATGGCTAAGGCCAAGTAAGAGCCCAAGAGACCTGCTTCATCTGGGTCTGTTCTGCCATGAGGACCTGAGTCACTGAAAAGACAAAGCTTCTCTTCCTGGCAGGAATACCGCCTCTGCCCGCTTTACTTCACCCTGGCCGGCCCCCAATGCTTGGTTGGTTAGCCAATGACGGGTAAGATCCCTCAAGGGAGGGGCAACCTAAGAGAGGCACGATCATGAGGAGGGCCCAGGGAAGGACTTAGGGGGCTATAGCAAAAGGGGGTGATGGACCCTTGCCCCTCAGCTTTGACACAGCCTGAGTACTCTTTCTGTCTTCAAGAAGTCTCCTAATCTCTTGGCTGCCTTACTTCCTGCTCAACCTAAATCTGAAACGATGCCAGAGGTGGGTGCGGCCCTGTGCTGTAAAGGGTAGGTTCCCCAGGGCAAGCAGGCCTAAGAGAGAAAGCATAAAAATCCTATGAAACCTGCTTTGCTAATACCCTCCATTTAAATAAGGGTCCAAGCCTGAAATGAGTTTGTTTCCCCTAACTTTTCTAGCTATTTGACCCTGACTCAAAATAGGCCCTCAGAGTTCTTTGAATGTTATCTATTTGATCACCACTGCCTGACAGTGACAGATAGGCTTAATCTGAGAATGTGGGTCTTTGGCACCACTGGTTGTTTATGGATTGTAATAATGTTATGTGTACTTTGACACATTTACAAATTATTTTCCCAGGGTCCTGTGAGAGACCAGCAAGCAGGAAGCTTTGTGGGATCTATAGCAGTCCTAACTAAAAACAAGGGAGGGGGAGATGTCAGAGACCTTTCTGCATGGCGTGGGCCCAGCCCCCAGTGGCAAACATTTACTGTAAAGTAACTTCCCAAAATCCATGCTAAACCTTCCAAGGACCAGTGTAACCGGTTCAACTACTTTTCCCTTTTCATTTGCAAATATCCCTCTTCTGTGATGTGATTAGCAGCACTGGCTCCTTTGTTTTCTGTAAAAGGTAACCACCTAAAGCAACCTGTGCATAGTAAATGAGGACCATAAGTAATATGCTGAGAAACTCAATAAAGGCGTCCCATCAAGGGCGGTGGCTTTTGCTCCCCTTGAGAGAAAAGCCATGCCATCCCTTTTCCTCCTAAGGATTCAGTAGTCCGTGTGTATGTCTAATTTAATCCGTAATGACATGAACACTGCGGGCCTGTGTCCGCATCAAGCACCTCAAGAACCAGGGGTTGGCAGGGTTGTCAAACACTGTACAATGAACAAGACCCTTTGATCTGCAACTTGCATTACTGTTTCTCAGGCTTCGTTCTTCCAAAGCAACTTTCTAACTATACTCTGAATTCTCAAATAGCCTGACTGCAAGAATAGAGCATGCCTGAACAGAAATGTTTATATTCCAGTTACCCTCGTAGTTCTGTAGTTTATCAGATTAATAAAGTAGCATTCTGGCTCATATATCAGTCCCTTGTGCCAATGAGCAGCATAAACCAGTTTTCTTGACTCTAATCAGCTGTGGGCATCTGGTAGAATGAGGTTTCCATTTTAGAAAAACTGAACACCAGACCTGACGAAAAACAGGAGAAGGCCACCCTTGTGAGACAACACGGGGCACCACCACTGGCCTTCCTTGTTAATATCCCATTTGTCCTGTGCTTACAGCATCTTCTTCTGGGGATTAAATGCCTCAAACCCATCCTATTTATCATCTGTCTCCTCTGACTATAAATGTAATTTGACAGTGGAATTTTTATCCATTTTGTTCGCTGTGAAATTGTCACCGCCCAGAATAGTGCCTGGCTTACAGGTGACCCTCACTAAATATTTGTTGAATAGATGAAAGAATGGTAAATCACTAAGCCTAATAGTCTTGGCAAGTGAAATTAAATTTAAACTTGTCAAATCAAAAGCCTGATGATAAACTGTCTACACTGATATGTCCAAAGACATACAATGGCTAAGTAGATTAAGTATGTCTCTGGAGCAAATTGCCTGCACAGTGCTTCATACAACAGTTTACAAGCACTTTGCCACATATCCTCGCATATGAGTCACTATTTAGTCTGGAGATACTCTCTCAGGGAGGCCAGAGTCCTGCACTTCAGTGTCCACCTGAAGCACTGTCTCAACCCCTTCCCTTTCCTCTTCTATCAACACTGAGCTGTGTGTTCCTGTGTCAGTGAGGACTCCAAATACCCAGATCCTGTGATGCTCTGAAACTCGTCTGAATCCCAAGCATGCTAAAGGCATAATATGACAAACCTTAGTAAAATTCCTAAGATTATGAATAGCTGCAGTGGAAAAAAACAGTAATAACTTACATTTGTAAAATATTTATTGTGCATGCCAGGTATTGCGCTAAACCTTTTGTATGGATAACTCTTCATGATAAGTCAATGCTAAAAAGCACTACTAACCCCTCTTATTTTACAGATGGGGAAATCACAACGCTGAAAGTTTAACTGACTTACAGTCATACTCCATAACGGTATTCCCAAGCACTATATTATACTGTAAATCAGCATTATAGTTTTTTGTCCTTAAGGGAAAAAAGAGCTACAAACGAAAAAAGATACCAAGATTCCACAGACCGAAATAATTAGGAAAAGAATGGAGGTTTTGAAGTCATCTACATGTATTTCCTAACCACCTATATGTGTGTAACACCTACTCAAAGAAGCATGGGACCCAAGAGTGCAAGATACATCTGTCTTCGGAGACTTTATAATATGGCTGAAAGTAGATAATAAATTATTAACAGTGAGTGTTTACATCATGCTTTATAGTTTAAAAAGATGTGTTGTCCCACATATTATCCTGTTTGCACCTTACCAATGAGCCCGTAGGACCTACTTTACAAAAGATAAAGAACAGTGAGGCTCTGAGATTTAGGAAATGTGGCACCGTTCACAGAGGTAGCAGATGGCAGTGCTAGGATTCAAACACTTATCACCTAATTCTAAACCAAGCCAGGGAGGCAATGAATAGAGGCCGAAGGGCTAGAAGGCAGAAAAAAAAAAAAAAAAAAACAGTAGCAGAAAACAAAAGTGGAGATCAGAAAGATAAGAGAAGAAGCAGGTTAATAAACAACATGGAAGCCAAAGAAGACAGAATTTCAAGAGGGACTTAACCCTTCTTGCATAAATTACAAGAATAATAAAAATTGAGGCAAGGCAGCTGCTACCTGAGAGGATATTGTTAGCAAAGCATATCTGTTACTATATTTAAGCAGATTGTTTAAATTATTTGTTATAAATGAGTTAATACTTCCAAAGTGCTAACAGCAGTGCCTAACGCATAGTGTGTATAACATTTACAAAGTAAATAAAACATAACAATTCCTAACACTTATTGATTAAGATAAAATTCATATAAAAATATCAATACATCTGTTAGCTATTTTTTCCAATGGCTCTTTTATATTACACCTGGGAAGAGTGCTCCAATGTCTCTGCTAGCAGATAATTTAATACAGCTAAAGGAGCAGAGTAATCAAGGTCCTCAAAAGTCTAGTCTATTAATTTATTTGATACAAATTACAAAGTTAAATTTGTACATTACACTAAAAGAGTATGTTACTATTTGAAAATCTGACAGAACAGGAATGCTCAGCAATGCATAACTTTATCATTGTCTAAAATATATAACTATGATTTATAGTCTCATAGAATCAGAATTTAGAAAACATAAGTCTAAATTATATAAGCAAGCACATTATACAATTAAACACTCAAAAGCAAAACATACCTCCTAAAGCCCCACTGTAATCTAGACTTTTCTTTTTAAGGCCATTAAATACGATGAAAACAGGAATGACAACAGAAAGCAGCCAACGCCAAGGAGAAATAGGCTGCAGGTTACCTGAAAAATTATAAAGGTAGAACATCAACTGTGTGTCATGCATAGGTAGTCTTGGCTGTAAATACTGACAACTGCATTCTGGATTAAAATACTGTCGTAAATAAGGAAACTGAGATAAAGTCACAAAGTAAAATATTTATGTTGAGACTTGTATATTTTCAGAGAAACAATCCTACCAGCAATAACCAAGTAAGTCCTACCCAAGTTTTGGAAACCATTTACAATTATTCATAATAATGGGTATTTCATACATATTTGCAGATTTGAAATGAATTATTTTTGGACAGAAGGTATGCATTCAAATCTCAAGAACAGCATACAATAAACTTTTCTTTTTTTAAAAAAGATATTTTACTTATTTATTTTTAGAGGGAGGGGAAGGGAAGGAGAAAGCATGGGAGAGAAACATCAATGTGTGGTTGCCTCTCACTTGTACCCTACTGGGCTCCCTGGCCCGCAACCCAGGCACCTGCCCCGACTGGGAGTCCAGCTGGGGACCCTCTGCCTCACAGGCCTGTGTACAATCCAGTGAGCCACACCAGCCAGGGCACAAACTTCTCTCTTAACAACATCCAATATTCCTCTCTGCCTTTCAGGAAATTTTTTTCAAGTAACATTCTCACATGCTACACACCCCAGGATTCAACAGTTAGCAACTGATTTCTCCAAAGATTTCATCTAGCTTAGAGATGTTTTGTTTGGCTAGCAGAGCATTTTTAAACAATTTAAGATAAAACAAACAATCCCAGAGAATAAATAATTTGAGTTAATATTTAAAGATTAGATTTCATATACAAATTCAGATTTCTGGCTTCTGTTTTAAAAACTGGAAACTTGGGCCACGTGGCAGAATTGACAAGTGAAGAGAGGTTGCCTCTTTTGCATGGATCCTTATTTTCTTATTTGAAGTCCTTGCCTTTCCTGAGCAACTCAACACCAAGGCTGAGGGTCTACAATAAAGGAAAGTGTGAACTATTGCTTGCGAGCATATTCCTATCAAAAATAAGAAAATGAGAGACAAAATGGGTCAAATGTTTAATGAGAAAACTATTCCCTTTTACTTAATATATATAAAGACCCAGGATAGCTTCACTAATTCGCATCAGGTGCCTGGCCTTAGAATGACCTTCAATTTACATACAAATCCTGTTTTATTTATTTAGTTAAAATTGTCATTAAGGAAAATCTTCTCCCTTGCCTCTCCTCCCCAAACCCTCATCCCCTGCTGTGACTCGATGAAAGAACACGATGAAAGAACAACTCTGAAAGCTTCCTACTCTGAAGAACATCTGTCTGATTATTCGCGTGTCTCTTTGAAAAAGAACTAAGGTCTGAACTGGCAATCACTTAAGATATAATCCTTTATGAGTTCACTTTCTCAATCTACTTCTCACTTTTCCTCTTGAACTTAAGTGTTTTATTTTTATAGGTGAACCAAGGAAGTTTGTGTAAAGGCATACTTATGCTCTAAAGCAGATTCAAAACCTTAAAAGATTTGAGGCTGGCCCTGGCTGGTGTAGCTCAGTGGATTGGGCACTGGGCCTGTGAAGCAAAGGGTCGCTGGTTCGCATCCCAGTCAGGGCTTATGCCTGGGTTGCGGGCCAGGTCCCCAGTGGGGGGACACAAGAGAGGCAACCACACATTGATGTTTCCCTCCCACTCTTTCTCCTTCCTGTCCCCTCTCTCTAAAAATAAATAAATAAATAATATATTTAAAAAAAAAAGATCTGAGGCTGGAGTACCTCCTACTTATGCAAAGTGGCTTCAGATTTTAAAAGAAGTATGTTCTTTTGAAGTGACTGAACAGGAGATGAATTCTCTAAATCTCCAAATATAAGCACTGTCATCTTTAATTTTTATGGGACAAATGAAACTGATAAATTATGTTACGGATATTCTTATTGAAAGCATCACTGCAATAGCTTTACGAAACTATGCTTCAGTTATTTCCCATCAAGGTAGATGTAATAATTACTTAAAACAAAAACATTTTGAAATGGGTATATAACCAATATTTTCACAAGCGGCACTTAGTAAAGAGTTTACAACGTTCAAGGCACTGTTTATATTTTCTGGTAAATTAAATACAGGCTGTACAAGTTAAGTGAACACAACTCATAACCACTCAAAGAATATGAGTTAATTTCACAATAGCACAATTATAAATTCTACCGGTTAGTGTACTAAAAAAGGACTTAGGACATTCATACTTACCATAATAGGTGTTCGCAGTCATAGACATAATCCAGAAGGCTAAAGAAATGCAAATGATCAGACTCAATATAACTATATTAGTTATCATCTTTATATATCTTTTGCATATATTTTCGTCAAGATCTGTCATGGAAAATAAGGATATGAACACCTGGGGAGGAAAATAGCTAGCATTTCCGAAACAAACAAAAAAGTCATTCAAGTTGCCCGCCAAACACTTGTGCGGAACTGAAAGTAAATGCTAACATCTTCCACCGATCAAAAAATAATATAAACCCAAAGTATTTCTGGAAACTGTCACTAGAAGAGAGCTCAAACTGCTAAAGCAAGGTGCGTCCACTCAGAACGCCGGCCCCTAGGTCGCGGTCTTTTAGCGACTGCAAGTGCAGGAGGGAAGGGGAGGGGAAGAGCGGGAGCAGCCAATCCGCGGCCCGGAGAGGGCGGGTTCCGCCGCCGCTGGCGCGCCCCGATGACAGAAGTGGCAGAAAGCGAACGCCAACCTCTGGCGTGTTGTCGCAGCTAGGTCGGCGCGACCGAGAGCGGTCACGTTTGGGCTGCCGCCTGCGCTACCCTGGCGTTCAGATCTGGCCCACCACAGTCAAGGGCCCCGCAGCTCAGCCCGGACCCGACGCAGGACCACTCTGGGCCGCTCCGCTTCTGAGCGCATGCGCAGTGGCCGCCCTCCGACACCGCCTCGCTCGCGTGAGCGTGAGCGAAGGGCTACGCCAAGGGCGGGCGAGTGGCGCCAGCCCACGGAGGGACGTCGGCTGCTCCTCCTTGGAGGGTTTGTCGGGCTCCTCAGAATACTGGAGATGTCTACGACGTTAGGTCCTTGCTTTTGAGTACACTTGCAAACGCCGAAAAGTTAAAACACTACCTGGGTACTTACAGAATAAAGGAATGCTGGAGGATTTAGGCCCAGTAAGTCCATTTCAAGCAAAATATTCAAATACTGTTTCATTCATGACATAATATGGATTTCGGGGGAAGCATATATTGTGTTGTAAAAACGGAATTTTATGATGGCAAGAAATGATTTAAAACAACGTGTAGTACCTATACTGTGGTGCTGGGCACTGCTGCCTGCTAGAGATGTAAAGATAAAGCTAGACATAGATTCTGCTGTTGAGCTCTCCAATTATTGTCATGACACTACCTTCAATGTGGAAATCTGTACACACATCTCTCATGTGAAGTGTGTGCATTCAGTCAATTCATTTGGAAAGCAGAACGTCATTACCAGTAACTGACTCTTGTGGCTCATTTCACATTTTATTTTATTTTTTTAAGATTTTATTTATTTATCTTTAGAGGGGAAGGGGGGAAGGAGAGAGGGAGAGAAACATCAATGTATGGTTGCCTTTCGTGCGTCCCTGCTGGGAACTAGCCTGCAGGGAACTGGCCTGCAACCCAGGCATGTGCCCTGACTGGGAATCGAACAGTGATCGTGTGGTTCGCAGGCCCGCGCTCAATCCACTGAGCTACACCAGCCAGGGCCTCACATTTTATTTTAAATGTTTGTTTGCCTGGGTTAACAATAAATAATTGATAGTTACATTTTCTTTAATAACTTTCAGTTAATTTCTAACAATTGTAAGAAGAGGCGAGTTAGTTTGAGACATAGAACCCAAGTGTGTGTGTGTGTTTTTAAAGATTTTATTTATTTATTATAGAGTGATGGGGAAGGGAGGGAGAAAGAGAGGAAGTGAAACATCAGTGTGTGGTTGCCTCTAGTACATCCCGTACTGGGGACCTGGCCTGCAACCCAGGCATGTGACCTGACTGGGAATCAAACCCAGTCTGTGCCCAGACTGGGATGCTTTGGTTCGCAGGCCTGCGCTCAATCCACTGAGCTACACCAGCCAGGGTCAGAACCCAAGTGTCTTTTAACCCACTAAAAGTACTTATAAAAACTCAAATTATTTTGATTGTTGTTCAAGCAGTCTTCTGCCTTTTACTCCCATCCCAGCCCACCCCCACCCCCTTGTTTTTGTCCATGTGTCCTTTATACTTGTTCCTGCAAACCCTTTCCCTTTCCCCCTGAAATTCCCTCCCCTCCCTGCTCTGGTCACTGTCAGCCTGTTCTCTATTTCAGTGCCTTTGGTTATATTTTGCTTGTTTTTTGGTAAAAACTCAAACTCCTTTAAATTTAAAAATATGTGCCAAGACAACTTAACACTCTTTCCTTTGATGAGAAATCTAATAAACTACATAGTTCATCAAGTACCAGATCTATCAAGTAGGACTAAATGGTAGTGGCCTTCTCCTACTAGACTACATGCATACTGTGGTCTTCACGTAGAAATTCATTTTGTGAATTTCTCTTTTAGTCTGTTCAGCACAAATAACTAGATTACCTCAGGAAGCTGACTGGCCAATATCAGTGATACCAAACAATCTTATTAATGGTTTAGTATATTGACCTTGTTTTTGTCTCTTAGACAAAATTATAAACCAGTCTTGCGCCCCACCTTGCCTCACTTTATCACAATCACGTTGTCTGATGTTGGGGTTTGGGGATGTTTGTCCAACAGAAAATCATGGGCGAGCTGAGTCAGGCCTCTCCGAACACACTGTCAGGCCAGTTCCTGGATGTCAGAAATGATTTTCTCTCTCCCGTGACTATCTGGCTCCCACTGCCTATTAAATAATAAATAATAGTGCCAGTCACTGACCCTTCAAGTGAATATTTAACTTCTATTTTTTTCTGTGTCCAATTATTGCTGTTGTCCTCCATAAATAAATTTCTTAGCTTAAGACTGAAACAACTTGGAAGAATTCATGTAGTTAAGAGAGAATTTTTTTTTAAATTTTAAGTTTGATAATTTATATAGACTTTAAAAGCCTTAAAAATTTCAACAACGTCTTTTTCTATTTCTTTAAAAGCCATTTTCTAGCAACAGATATCTTCTGGTTAAGCATTTCTTAAACTATCACATTCCTCAAGATATTAGTAGGTATGCTACCCTATACCCCACAACCCACCCAACACCTCTGATCAAATTTAAGGTTGAAAGATTTTTTATACTCCTGGGATTGTGAAATGCATTGTTAAAGGCTCTGAGAAGAAATTTGAACATCTTTGTTTAAATCTTTAAAAATATTTTTATTGATTGATTTTAACTTCAAAAAATTTTATTTATTGATTTAGAGAGAGAAAGAAAGAGACATCAATTAGTTTTTCCACTTATTTATATATTCATTGGTCGGTCCTTGTATGTGTCCTGACGGGGTTTCAAACCTATAACCTTGGTGTATCAGGATGACGCTCTAAAGAACTGAGCATGTTCCCCTCAGAAAACATGAGTTTGAGAATCTCTGTAGTGGTCAGAGTAACAGACTGAAAGTTTATTGTTGCATTGATAACCTTTAAATGTCACAATATAAATACCTATTTGTTTATTCTTGGGCATAAACGAGTTTGGAATTTTCTGATCAGACATTTGGTACTTAACACCAGTTATAAAAATCACCCAATGGCAAAAAGTTGTCAGGAAAGTAGATTACATGTACAATCCCTTTGAATATAAACCAGAGGAGTGGTTCAGGTTTTCTGAAATCTAGTATTTGAACGCCTAATATACAAGGTTTGTCTGGAAAAAATCCAGCTATTAATATAAGGAATTGTTTGTGTGACATCAATGTAACCTGGCAGCTGAGGAAAGTGACTGGAACGCACATGCATAAACTGCGATGACTTCACTGTACAAATCAGTGGGGGCAGTGATGGCACTGGGTGAGCGCGTGTACTGTGTGGTTGTCCCATTCAAAATGACTGAGCAAGCAGAGCAACAAATCTCCATCAATTGTTAAGGTCGAACATTTCTCTGTGGAAATTGTTGGGGTGACTCAGAAGGCCACGGCTATGGGGAACTGGTGATTGGCAGCTTCATCATGACAACGCCACTGGCTCATGCATCACATCTCTTGCAGCATTTTTGGCAAAACAGCAAATCATCCAGGTGACTCAGCCTCGCTACAACCCAGATTTGGTGCCCTGCGACTTCTGGCTTTTCCTAAAACTAAAATCACCTTTGAAAGGGAAGAAATTTCAGACTGTTGATGGGATTCAGGAAAATATGATGGGCAGCTGATGGCAACTGGGAGAACTGTGTGAAGGTCCATGGTGCCTACTCTGAGAGGGAACTGTCTTGTCATTGTCCTGTGTACAATGTTTCTTGTATCTTTTATTCAGTATGTGTCTCTATTTTTCATATTACATGATTGGATACCTTCTGGACAGGCCTCATACACGTCAGACCCCAAAATAAAAAACAAAATATCTACATACACTTCCTTGAAGGAACACAGCAGATGAAAACATGTATGTAGATAATTACATTCTAGTAGTATGACTTTATCCAAGTTACGTATAAAACAAGACACGAGGAGTAAAGGACTTGTCACCTTGGTATGTTAAAGCAGTGATTTTCAACCAGCGTGCTGTAATTTGAAAAAAAACCACACAATACCTATTTAGTCATGGGCATTGACTGTTTTTCCCTTAGATTATCAGATAAAAAAAGTACAGCAGCCAACCCAACAGTCATCTGGTGTGAATGAATCAAAATTACACCTATTTTTTTTTTTTTTGGTCAGATGGGCTGAAAAAATATATATATATATTTTTAAAAGATTTTATTTATTTATCTTTAGAGGGGAAGGGAAGGAGAGAGGGAGAGAAACATCAATGTACGGTTGCCTTTTTGTGCGTCCCCTGCTGGGAACTGGCCTGCAGGGATCCTGGCCTGCAACCCAGGCATGTGCCCTGACTGGGAATCGAAGCACGATCGTGTGGTTCGCAGGCCTGTGCTCAATCCACTGAGCTACACCAGCCAGGGCTGAAAATATATTTTTTGATGTGCTGCAGCATTTTAGTAGTTAGTTTAGGTGTACCATGCGATGAAAAAGGTTAAAATCACTGTGATGGTGGTGTCACAGAGGAGTGTCAGACCTAAGTCTTGAAAGGTGACAAGGCATTTGTTACCAGGCTAAGAGGGAAAGGCAATCTGTAAAGGCTTGGCGATTAAGAAGAGTATGAAAATACAAAGTTCAAGAGAATGGAAAGAGTTAGAGGTAAGTTTGAAATATTATCTAAATAAGTAAACCGAAAATTAATCTGAGAGCTAGGCACATAGCGGCTTTCTTGGCATTAAACACAAAGATTTTTAGAGTTTTTGAGCACAAACTAAAAGCCTAGGCAGTAAACTGAAACTGCTGAGTTGAATTAGTCAATTCATTCTGAAGGGGCATTAGGAAGAACATATGGAACTGTGAGGGCAGGAGTAAATGGAGTATTTTTTTTTCCCCAGTAGCCTAGAGGACAGGATCTTGTCTGTCTGGTTCATCCTGATTTGCTCATTATCTCTTTGTGAATGTTAAAATAGTATGTTTTGAATTAAAGCATTAAACAATATTTTAAAAATCAGAAAAAGTTTAAGAAAAATCACAACTTAGTTTTTTATTGAGATAATGCTTTGATAATCATATCTACAAATAAGTATTTTTGTTAACCTGAAATTGTCAGGGTAAACAAAATTTATATAGCCCTTCTTATATCTGATTTAGATTGCATAACCAGTATTTAAAACAGTACAAATAAACTATAATGGATGTTTAGCTACAAGCTGAGCAACAAAAATAATATTGATAATTCTTTCACACTTTACATATCTTTTATTAACAGCTTGCTTCAATTTATGGAGAACTTCTACAGAAGTATCTCGGTGGGGGGGTAATTTAGGGGAAGCACTTCCACAGAAATGTTCATGTACATTTTTTGGAAATAATAGACATGATAGTAATGTCCTTGGAAAAGTCTTTAATATCAACATACTCAGAATACATTTTTGTGAATATAGTATGCAATTGTTTTAATACATATTATAAAACCATTATTTAAAAAAAATTTCCAACTTCCTAAATACCAAAGAACCCCACATTCTGGCATAAAGTTGAATCATTTTCTATATAGTATACCAAAATTAAAATTTACCCGTATTCTAACATTGAGAAATGAGATAGAACACCAACATTATAGTCTACCTAGAAAAGATTAACAATGACTTTATAGACTATCTTTATAAAATGTTTTATTTTAGTACTTTGGGACACATGACTTGTCCTATTTTAATAACGTAACTTATGTATTTAAAAGAGGCTTATAATGTGGTAGGCAGGATAGATTTGGAGGCTGAAGATCAATGCTCCACCTAGAACTTCCTAGATAAACTAGCATACTACCCCTTGTGCCAGTTTGCACACAGTAAATGTCTGAATGAATAAGCTACATCAACACAGATTTCTTCAGCTGTACATTGGAGATCTCATCTGGCACACAGAATATTTGTAAAGAACAAGTATGAAAACTAATGGGTGTGACAGTGCTTTGTTAACTTCAAGACTCCAAGCTAAAATACTTTTAAAGGTCTGAGTTAGTAGGCTTTGTTATTTTGTAAAAATATCAAGTGTCAAATAAACTCCTGTACTTGGCTTTGATGCAGTATTTTATTTAGTTATGTTTTTCTGTTAACAAAGACACCATTAACAATACATTTGTTCAGTGTTCATTTTGAAGAGGAAAAATGTCTTACAACTTACTAAAAGAAAACACTATGTAATTCAGGTCAACATCAGTGTCCTTTTACTTCCTTTGGTTGTCATAAGAAATCTTTATTTCAAAAGAAAAGTATTTCATTATAAATAAGTCTTATGTTCTCACTAAATTCCAATTCAAAAATCACTTAAAGCATTTATAATATTGTATGAAAAATATTTTTTCTCTCAGGAGACTTTGAATAACTTAAAGGTAAAAAATTGAGTCAAATTCATCTTTATATCAAGTAACTAGCCTTTGGCTGGTTCTTTGTAGAAGTTAGTGCCTAGTAGACATAGAATGAATGAATAGAAGATATGTGTTGTGTCCAGCAGAGGACCAAAGAGCTATTATAACTTTGATAGTTTTATAGCGTATGGTAAAAGTGATAAGAAGTTTATCAACAAACTGAAAACAGAATTTTAAAATTCATATTTTCTATGAATGAGACTATTTTTAAGGTAGACAGATATTTGTTAATGAAAGAATTTGATGCAAGGAGAGTTTGGAGCATATTACCAGGATAGTAACATGAAAATGACATAGGGGAAAAAAAACCAAAAAATTTTACTTAAAAGTCACTGAGCGGTAGTTTATTCAGTGGTCTCAAGTAATAATGAAGATTAACTAACTTTGCCAAAAGCTTATTTTCATAGTGTTCATTTTTATGATTTTTAAAATGTTATATTAAGATACTACCAAGATATTGTAGATGGGAATCAGCCTATGTTAGTTTTGTTTTGTATTGGGGAGCAGTGGTGAACCACATGATAGTCTGTATTTGGAAAACATAGGTTATGTTTAAATGATTATTTGCCTAACTTACTGGTATAAAGTAGATATGGTCAGTAAGTGTTTGCTGATAATTAAGGCTATGTATTAATAAAAAGACATTTGAAACTGTATTAGAAAAAAAATGTAATGACAATTCCAAGGAGCTACGTCTAATATTTATGATAAAAATGACTAACAAGGTTTATAATACATCGTGGGGCAAAAGCAGGTTTACAGTTGTTCATATGGAAAATAATACATAAATAATTAATAAATAATAATACAAGAATTGTTTCATATACTCACAACTGTAAGCCTACTTTTGCCCCACTCTGTATACAGAAAAGGATTTTCATAAATATTTGTGGTGCTTTATGATAGCTAAAACAGACCTTTGGCCTTTGTGAAATCTAGTTGCTTAGGAGGCATTCCTTATTAAAAGAAGGTTCTATTAACATAACAAGACTGATGCTAGGATCCTAGGAAAACAGCAATTTAAACAATTGACAAAAAAAATTATTTTTATCATCAGGTAGCATTTACCTTATAGAAAAGACTTATGCAATTTACTGTTAGGTGTACGTTAATTTCATATGTTGGTGTCAGAAAGCTTGAATTAGGGTTGACTAACAACATTATACACCAATAAATTTTCCATGATTTGATCAAAGCTCTTTGAATAAAAATGTTATTAAACATTTATCTGGTGAAGTAAGGCAAACTCTTTAATTGTTCAAGTGTCAACTATAATAATAGTTTTGATATTCTACTTTGTAAAACAGTTAGCACTTGCATAGCTTTATCCACAGACATACATTTTTGTAGAGAACTACGTTTTATTTCCCTCATGCGGTACAGTCATTCTATTTGGCTCTCACTAAGAAAGGATATAAAAAGCAAGCTGATATGTATGGTAAATTAATTCCATTTTAAGTTAAAAGTTGTAAAGATATAACATGGTAAGTACTGTTGTATGATTATATTCTACTGTACGTTTAAGGGAAAAAAGCTTAAAAGTTTTAGTATTGATATACATGAAAGCAGAGGGAATTTCCTAACATGGAACTTGGTAGCATATTTGCTTATTAATACATCAATTTTGAAACGAAAGATGTATTGTTTTTATTATAAGTAAAAGAGCAGTATACAGTTATCTTTTTGTTTAATTAAGGTAAAAACTAGATCCCAACCTCTGCAATATTTCACAATGTATTTTCTTAGAAGGTAAATATAATCGGCTACCAGTTTTTCCTAGTCTGAGGTACTTGAGGGCTTACTACCTTGGATGAGTCAAGGGTACTTCACATTCAAAAATATTTTCAAAATATTTTACAATCCATTTTAAAAGGTAATACTCTTAGAAGGGAGGTCATGATTAGCTCACTTTCACTGTTAGAAAGACACAGAAAGTTGAAATAAAAGAACTTGTCCTATACCCCATGCTTTTTTCTATAGGTTACAAATCATAGTGCCAATTATAATTTAACTAATTCAAAAACCAGCAATGTTGAAGTCATATTTAATGGTTAACTCCTACTTAGTGTCTTATTTAGAATGTAATATTCCAACTTTGGTACACAGAAACATTTTTTTCCTAATGTAAGTTAAACACATTACTTGTCATAGACTGTCCTTTAAAAGTTGTTTAAAAAGAGAAAAACACAGCACACCTTGAAAAATTTCCTAATAAAAATTTTATGTAATTCTCATGTAAGGCACTTCCATGCTTTCTTCAAATAAGTTTCATAAAGTTTTCATTTTTTTTGTAATCAAGTTTCTGTAAGTTATACAGTAATAACATTATTTCAAGTAAAACTAAAGTACCCAGTTTTGGCATAATTTTCTTAAATATCTTTACCTTAGAATAGAATAAAGGATGGGCTTCAAGATCTATGCAGGCTAATCTTCACTAAAAGTACTCCTGATCTATTTTAGATTTAGAGAATTGTTAACGTTTTATCTTGTTCTTGTTCAAGAATCTTGAAATCCTCCAAAGGAAGACTGCTTAAGGCAGTTGGCAAAATGTGTTCGGATGTGCCCTTAGGTAATATGTTATTTGCTTCTAGACTCTTCACCAAGCATGTGGCTTTGATCCATCTTCGAGTTGCTCTGCGTTCTTTTTGTAGGCAAGTTTTCATTTTCCTTCTTAAATTTGCTATTTCCTTTTCCAGTTTAATTATCCTCTTTTTTGCCTCCATAGGATTCCTAAAGGCATAACTGTGTTCTAGTAGCACTTGTTGACTATTAATGTTTGATTTTAAATTAGATGGTCCGTTTGGAATACAGCTGTTGTTTTTCTTCAAAAGATTCCGTGACTTCAGTTTCTGGGCCAAATAAAATGAGAGGTTTGAATGTAAGTTATGGAATATCATAAATAAGTAATTTTTGCCCAGGCTTGTGTAATAGTATATAAACTGCTCTTTTTAAAAGGAGAAGGGATTATTAGCTAAAGGACTTGTATGCATGACTCACAGACATGGACAATGGTGTGGGTTTTGCCTGAGGGGAGAGGTCTAGGTAGATGAGAGCAAAGGGGGAAAAACTGGGATAACTGTAATAGCATAAACAATAAAATAAAACAATTGTAAAAAAAACCCCACTGACTTTAAAAGTTAGGAAACATCTATATAACCATGGACTCAAGCTTCTCAACTGGCTGAATTAACTCCAGCCACCCATTTCCTTTTGTCTTCCCTCTACAGCACAGGTGGCAAACACAAGCCTGCCCCTCCACCTTGTTTCATCCAGCTGGCACCTGGTTTCTACCAGGTGGCAGCGCAGAGCTCTCACTTAACTGTTAAGGAGCAGTTACATTTACACAGTCCTAAAACTACATTCGGCCCTTTGAAGGCAACCTCCAGGCTGATGTGACCCCAGGTGAAAATGAGTGTGACACCTCTGTACTAGAGAGAGATACAAACATTGGTCTGGAAATAAGACAGTGGACTTCCAAGATCTCTTCCAAATTATCGAATATGATTCCATGGAGACTTTAAATATCCTCTGCAATTTTCTAAGGGCAATTTAATGTATTTAGACCTTTGGCTTATCTGTGACCCCAATTTAATCTCTTTTCTAGGTAAATACTATTTTCTCAACTATTATTTCAGACCTGGGGTCTACTTAATAAAAATGTATTTCCAAGTACTAAGCTCCTGAATAGATTTCCTTATTAATTGCTCAGTTACAGCTTCTATTCAAGAATTTAAAATGTGGGCAGAAATTTTTCCCCAAATCAGAAACTTGGGAACCATCTTTTATCACTTTCATTCAATTTGTCTTCAAGTCCTATTAATTCTATATCCTAAATATCTCTATCATGAATCATCTTTTCTCCATCATTCTTAATGTGACTTACTGCCCACATCAGGCCTTTAACATATCTAGCTTGAATGTTTAAAACGTCTTTATTGATTTCTACCTCATTTTGATTCTCACTAATCCATATTCTGCCACCAGAATAATTTTTCTACCAGATTTGATATTTCTATACTGGCTGAATTCCTCTTTGCCTCCCCATTATCTAAAGAAAAAGAAATCTTTACATGGCATATTATACCACTTAGGATTTCACCCCATTGTGCCATTCACGATCTATACTCCAGCAATGGAGTATATTGGAGCAACTCACGATTTATACTCCAGCAATGCTAAATCATTTGTAGTTCCCAAGACTGTACTGTAACCTCGTAACTTGGTATCCTTTTTTCACTCAACAAACATTATTGAAACACACAGGAATTTACTTATGAATTCTTGGGGACACAATAATGAACAAATTAGACGAATATGGTTCCTGTCCTCACAAAATCTGTAATAGGTATTCACTCTAATTAAGGGAATTGGTAGAGATTATCTTTTGTTCTTTATATCCTCACCTGACATAATGTAAAGTTTAGTAAATATCTGTTGAATGAGCATGTGATCAAAATGTTAAAAGGAATACTTCAAATTCAATAAATATTTGAGCCCTGGCTGGTGTAGCTCAGTGGATTGAGCGTGGGCTGTGAACCAAAGAGTCGCTTGTGGGATTCCCAGTCAGGGCACATGCCTGGGTTGCAGGCCAGGTTCCCAGTGGGGGCCATGTGAGACGCAACCACACATTGATGTTTCTCTCCCTCTCTTTCTCCTTCCCTTCCCTCCTCTCTAAAAATAAATAAATAAAATCTTTAAAAAATAAATATTTGAGTGTGTACTATGTACCAGGCAGTATTTGAGTTGTTGAGAATTCAGAAGTGAAAAAGGCAAAGTTTTTGCCTTTCTGGAGCTTTTCTAACATCTGTGATGTTAGAAAACATCTGTGTTTCTAACATCTGTGATAACTGGTTTACCACAATCTCCCCTCCTTTTCAGATATTAATTTATGTACACTTACAAATTTATCTATCATAAATAACTCACGAAAAGCAGCAGTTTTTCCCTTCTCAGAGAAAGTTGCCTGTCCTCATTTTCAAACTATTTTTTCAGTCTGCTGCTTTTTATTTCCCAGTGACCCTGTTTTTATCAATTAGCTTTATCCTCTCTGATCAGATCTACCTTAACTACATAAAATACTGTTTTAATGCATTCGTTATAAACATTAGTTCTTTTCTCCCTTTGATATATCACTTGGTAACACTTGATTATTTTCCATTTACCCCTCAACCCATCATTTTTGGTTCTGTTAGGTCAAGAAGCCTCTCCTAATTTCCAAAATCCAAAGTGAAGCCCGGCTAAAATGCCTGAGTTCTATGAAGTTTTCTGTTATGCTTCTCTCTCATATTCTTTAGTATGGCTCTGGTATTCTTTGGGTGCAGTGCTCTTTAAGAACTTAGTACACGTTTTATATGTCAGCTTAAAATCAGAGCCGAGTAATGCTAGATGTTTCATTACTCATTTCTCAGCTTTACAAATGGTTCAGTTTTTATGATTTATTAATTGGTAGTAATGCAAAATTCCAGTTTAGGAAAATAGTTGGGGCCAGAGGAAGAATATTGGAGTCAGGAGACCTGAGTTCTAATTCTAGCCTGCACCTTTACTGCATAAGAGGAAATTTTGCAATTTCTTTGAGACATATCATGCATTAATTTCATTATATTCTACGTTGTTCCATTTTATAAACAAAAAAGAACAGATTCTAAAAATGGGGTTACAAAAAAGGGCAACATTACCTACCACAGACTTTATATGGGTACAAAAATCAAAAATGGTTGGAACAGCATCCATTTTAAGTCGTCGAGTTTGCCCCGTTAGGTCAAAACAGGAGGCTTCAAAGTGCTTTGAACAAAGAAAAGTGTGTTTTCCTGGCACAAAATTTTTGCGCCTGGTTAGGCGAACCCATTCTTTTCTTCTTTTAGGATCCAAAGGAAACCTTAAAAAAAGAAAAAAAGGCAACTCAAATTGCAACTATTACACTTCTGTTTGTACCTAAATGGTTAAAGACAAATTTTAAGTCGTGATGATTTAAAGTGTCTTCAATTTATATACAATAAATTTAAATTCCCAATATTCAGAACACTGGAACAGGAACCAATTCATGCTAATTTTTGTAAGTTGTAAAAAAATAATAAAAAACTTACTTGAGTGGTTTTCAGGGCTTTGAAAAGAGATTTTTCTTTCTATTCTGGTCCTCAATGTGGGCAGTAAAAATATATAAGACTAACATGATCTAGGCCAGGGTGGGGTAGCTCAGTTGATTAGAGCGTCACCCCTCACGCCAAGGTTGTAGGCTTGACCCCTGGCCAGGGGAAATACAAGAATCAACCAATAAGTGCATAAATAAGTGGAACAACAAATTTATGTTTCTCTTTCTCTCTTTTTTTCTAAAATCAACTTTCAAAAAGCTTACACAGAACCTTACAAGCAGGAATAACATTGCATTGATCTGCTGCTGACACACATGGTTAAGACAAATCAATTTATCCACAGACTAAATTTTATCAAGGAAAGCCTGAATAGATTCTGGTATTCCTTCCTCTGTGTTCAGATATTTAACGTTTTCTTAGCTCCTTATGAAACTAGTGCTTCGAATTGAAATTCACTTGGCCAAGATTTTTAAATCTGTGTTTAAATATAATAATTACCAACAATTTTATATTTGATTTTGGAGAATGCTTTTACATAGCATCAAACATAATGATGTTTTGTATGTGTTTTGGGGTTTTTCTTATCATATTCAAAGGCTGGTAGATATAGCCCATACTTGAATTCAAGTAGCAATAAATCACCCTATAAATATTTAAAAGATAACACAGTAGTAACAGATTAATATTTGTCTACACCATAATAGGACCAGGCTTTCAGAAACAGATGTTTTGAAAAGAAAAAGAAATCACTACTTTAAACAATGCTATTTTGCTCGGGTCTTTAATAAATGGCTGAATGCCTCCAATATTCCAAGCACTGTCCTAGGCACTGTCCCAAGCACTGAACACAGTGGTAAACGAAACTTACCTACTTTTATGGTATCTACCTTCTTATTAAGGGACTACTATAATGGAGAAGATTTGAACAGCTTGATGCGGTAGAAAAGAGTGACGGAGAACACTGTCTCTAGAGTCCGACCAAGGTGTCAATTCTGGTTCCTTCACATAATAACCAGGTGACTTTAGGCAAGTTATGCAACCTTTTTAGGCCTTAGTTTTATGATCTATTATATAAAAATACCATTTATAATGCTGTCTAGTGTGGTTCTAGAGACTGAATGAAACATTGGGCTAAATGCTTAGCCCAGTGCACAGTACATGGTGAATGCTAAATAAATGCTATTTATTATAAAAGTAATTACAAGTGTCCTGAGTGTTTTAAAAGGTTAAGTACGAAGTCAAAAGGAACCATAAAACTCGATGAGCCAATCTAGTCAGGAGGCTTTGATAGTAGGAATTACCTAGGGGAATTAGGGTGGGAATAGTGAAGTGTTATGACATGAAATGATGCTAGAAAGCCTTCCAAGTTAAAATATAATTTTGAACTTTTTCCAAAATAGAATTGGTAAGCCATTACAAGGCTTAGCTTAGAGAGCACATGGTTAACAGAAAATGTTTTAATTGGCTGTTAAATGCAACCATTATTAAAAAATAAATTATGTAAATTTCCAATAAATTAAAAACAAAGGTAGTATTAAAAACCCATTACTTCCTAATCACTTCAGTATTATTTATATTCTTAAAAATATTTGTTATAGCTGTACAGTATAAACGCTATATAGAATAGTGTGGTACTGTACATTTTCTCCCAACTTTATAACCCGTGATGTCAGTAGCTGGAAACCAGCCAGGGTAGGTATATTTATATCATAGGGTTATGAGTCAGGCCTTTCCCCTTTCCCAGGAGATTTTGTTGTTCAACATTTAGGAACACATCACTGATTACAGAAGAGAGGTTAGGAATACATGAATGGAAGCAGTGAACCAATTTAGAGGCTGTTGTAATAATCCTATTAAGAGGGAATGGTGAGAAGTCAAGGAAAGATGACCTCCCAGTTTCTGGGTAGACGTTTTCATTTACTGAGAAGGGAACTGAAGGGAGACCAGGGAAATACTGAGACACTTGGGGTGCAGGTCTGAAACTCACTAGAGATTTGAACTGCAGATAATTGATTTGGGAGGCATCAACAAGTAAGTGTTACCTAAGACCAGAGGAACAGTTTGAAATCTTTTTTAATAAAAGAGGGAAGACCTAGGTCAGGTATAGAAGAGAGGGGCTGGTAGAGGAGGTAGGCCACAAAATTGATGTCAATTCAAAAGTGGAGAGTACTTTGAGGAAATGATAAAACGCCCTGAGAAAGGAATGTAGGAGTGACAACTGTTAGCAAGAGCAGTTTCAGATTATTGGCAAGAACTAGTCTGCATGGGCAGAGTCATAGATAAGAAAAAGAAGCCCTGGCTAGTATGGCTCGAGCACCAGCGTGAGAACCAAAAGGTTGCTGGTTTGATTCCTAGTCAGGGCACATCTGGGGTGTGGGCCAGGTCCCCAGATGGGGGCATGTAAGAGGGAACAGATTGATGTTTCTCTCCCTCTCTCTATTACATAGAAAATTATTTCTATGTAATAATTTTCTATGTAAAAATTATTACATAGAAATCTTTTAAAATGTTTTTAAAAAAGAAACATGGAGATTTTTCTTTAGGCAATGTAAGTTGTACATGTGAATACTGAAGTCTACTAATGTCTTACGAGAACAGTTAATATTGTTGGTATTTATAAAATAGAAATGTACTTTTATCATATTACTTTATAACCTAAATTTTTGCATTACACATGCAAATGTTAATTTCATTGGTGGTAAATGGTCAAATATGAAAAGGAAGTATACATGCTACTGCACCACTGTGCATCTCTCTTTTTAGTGTTTTTAAAAATATTTTATTTATTTTTAGAGGGAAGGGAGGGAGAAAGAGAGGGAGAGAAACATTAATGTGTGGTTACCTCCCATGCATCCCCCACTGGGAACCTGACCTGCAACCCAGGCATGTGCCCTGACTGGGAATTGAACCAGCAACCCCTCCGTTTGAAGGCCTGAGCTCAATCTACTGAGCTACACCAGCCAGGGCAAACTGTGCATCTCTTAAACGTTATTACTGGTGTCCTGACTCTTCCCTTTCCCTCATATTCCCAATGAAATGATCAAATACAGTAGTTTGTCCTCAAATATTTCTCAGATCTGTCCAGATGTTTCTCTACTTGTTTCCATCTGTGATGTCAATACCACTCTAGTCTAGGCCAGTGGGTGGACTCTCCCTTGTTTCATGACTGGCTCCTGTTTTTTCTCTGTCAACTCTCGTCTCTTTTACTCTAGTGCTGGCTGGGCCAGCAAAGAACAGTCTGTAGTTCAGTTGACACTGTAGCAGAATTTCCCTGTGAAAGAAACAGTAAGTAAATGAACATTCTTTAATAAGTTTCTTTCTCATCAAGTTTATCTCTTGATGATGCTTGACCAGCACTTCCAATAACATTATTCTCAGACACTTCTGCCAGAGGACTTTTTTTAATGCACACATTTAATCATGACATTCTTTTAAAACTTTCCCTGGCTTCTCAAGTACTAATTGGATAAAGTAGAAAATCTTTAAAAGTGCAAGTAGAACCAAACCTGTGTCACTATTTGGTCTCACTTGAAATTTTACATCCTTTGAGAAGTGTTCTTTGACTTTAAAAGGCTTAGTCAGGTTTCCCGGAATGTCTTTTCCGAGGCACTTAACTGTAATTATGTTTGTCTTTCTTTCTCATTACACCCTAAACTCCAGGAATATAAGAATTTTCTTGATCCTTAGCATGATGTCAGGTAAATAAGAACTTGGTACACATTCGATGGATGAATGAATAAAGCACTACACTTGCATGAAGCAGCTGGAAATGGAAATATCAAAAACATTTTTTTAAGTGGCAACCTTTAATAAGGGTGTACATTTAGTTATCATGAGGTAGAGGAAAGGTCAAGGATATAATTTTCTACATTTTAAAACTGGATTAAGTTGTGAGTTATATAAAATCAAAACTGGCTGCACTTAACGTCTTTAATGCTTCTTGTCTTCAGCCACATGGCAAGCACTTACAGAGAAGGTAAACATTTACTTACTGTATTTCATGTAGTGTTCAAAGTGCTTTCCAGAGTTCCGATTTGAGAGAACTAAAGAATTTTTATTGCTCTTCCAGCAAAGAAACAAAAACACCGAGGTTCTTCTTACTACTCTTCTAGTGAAAACAGAAAGCTTATCTTTCGTACTTTCACTAACATTGCTTAATTCCATGATTATTATCAATGATGAGTAAATTCCTTTGTAGAGTTCCCTGTCAATTTAGCTAGTAAGAATTACTTGATTTTACGGCAACACAGTGGTGTTTTAAAGTGCTGACACGAACAGGAAGATTTCTTATAGCGTCATTAATGTAAAGATCGGTCTAATACATAAAAGTAAAAGAGAAGAAAATTAAGGTATCTCCCGTCACTTTTACAAGGAGTAATCACCGTGCAGAACTTGAATTTCTTTTATAAAGTGAGTAAATCTTCCCCGAATGTAGAGAAAAATTGGACAGATTTGAGAACCACACAAAGGGAAAATAGAGTGCTTAGCTGCCACCAGGTAGGTACTGAAGTTATTGGAATTAGCAGAATTCTCCTGTTCCATTTACACAAGCAATTCTCAATCTAGCAGCTCGCGTTTCCTTCTCATGCCCCACTCCCTGCCCAGGTTACCTGTGGAAGCTGATGTTAATGTGCTTGTTGTAGGTAGTAGCACAGCCCGCCGCGGCGCAATTGGTCGGCATTTCACTTTCCCCCACATTCGGCGGTGCCGTAAGCCCGTGTTTGAGGCGCTGCTACACTTCCTGCGGGCAGACTGGGCAAGGGTGGCAAGGGAAAGGCCCACCGAGCTGAGCCGAGGACGCGGGGTGGAAAGAAGGGGTGTGTGTGTCTGTCGGAGGACAGGGGTCAACCTTCCCTCTCTCTTTATTAATATGGCGGACCTAAACCAGCAGATCCGTCAGTGCTCCACTAGCCTTCCTTTGCCTTCACCAACATGGCGGGCTAACCCGACCCCTTACTGGCCCCCAAAATGGAATGGAACTACTGTGTCTCTTTAGCAGCCGTCCTAGGAGTAATTAAGAAAAACAGGTATTACCCACTCCCCCCCCCCCCCCATTACTATAATACTCTCTCGAGGTGGAGATTAAGAAAATGCACGCCCACCCCACCACGCACCCAGGTATTCCAATCCCGAGTCTGAGGTGGGCGTGAGCTGTAGATTTGAAGGACAAACTCGAAGAGAGGAAAGAAAAACTACAAGTCCCACTGAGCATCACGTTGTCCTAATAATTATCGCGGTAGCTGAGTGTCTGGTTTCCTGCGTATAGCAGGAAGTGACGTCAATGGAAGAGCCACTTCCACAGTCCATTTCTCGCGAGGCGGAAGAGCCCCGTTAGCGTTGGAGCAAGGGGGCGCTAGGGTAGGGAACTGGGTTGAGACGGTCCGGCGAGGAAGAGCTGGGGTGCCGGGAAGTTGGGGAGCAGAGCCCGCTAGGTGTCCGGGCACGGTAAGGCCGTGCCTGCCGAGCCTGTTAGAAAAGAAAGGAACCGAGGAGGAAGGCAGTTGTCGGGCGGTTCCCAGACGGAGGGCTAAGGTTGTGTGGAAGGCGCTGCTCCCGGGATGGCGACCGCAGATCCACCGGCCCCGGCCTCCAGTGGCTTCTCGCCCAAGGAAGAAGGGGAGCTGGAAGATGGGGAGATCAGCGATGACGATAACAACAGCCAGGTACGGAGCCGTAGCAGCAGTAGCAGCAGTGGATGCGGGCTGTTACCATATCCTCGGCGAAGGCCTCCTCACCCGGCCCGGGGCGGTGGATCCGGCGGAGGCGGTGGCTCCTCGTCGTCCTCCTCCTCTTCTCAGCAGCAGCTGAGGAATTTCTCACGCTCGCGGCACGCGTCCGAGCGGGGCCACCTCAGGGGACACAGCAGCTACCGACCCAAAGAGCCGTTCCGGTCTCATCAGCCCTCCGTGCGGATGCCTTCGAGTTCACTGTCCGAAAGCAGCCCCCGGCCGTCCTTCTGGGAACGGAGCCACCTCGCCTTGGACCGTTTCCGCTTTCGAGGCAGGCCGTACCGGGGTGGGAGTCGCTGGAGTCGGGGGCGTGGAGGGGGTGAGCGAGGAGGCAAGCCGGGGGGCAGACCACCTCTGGGAGGAGGAGCGGGACCCGGATTCAACAGCAGTCAGAGCTGGCGTGAGCCCTCTCCACCTCGGAAGAGTTGTATCCTTAATGTGGCGGTCGGCCCTGGGTGTGTCAGTCAAGTTCCCTTTAACGTCATTACTGTCATTACTCAGTCTGGGAGATGAGTAACTTTTCTGAACCACCAGAGCCGCTTGTTTGTTACTGTATCAGTATACTTAAAGTAAGTTGTTCTTTGATAATTCCCATGTGTCACGCCGTAGTAGTTTTTAAAAAGTGCCTAATTGGGTACATTGCTTTTTAACCTTACCCTATCATGGTTGGGGGCCACGCTAGTGAATCTAAGAGTTTAAAATCAGATTCGTAATAATGCACCAGAAACCCAAGTTTCATTAGCATTCGTTTTTTTTTTCCTGGTACAGAAACTTTCTATGTGAGGTTGAACTTGGATTATTAGAGGGAGAAGACATACATAGTTAAACAATTTGGGGAATACTGTTCTTTTCTCATATTACACTTTGACATTGTAAGTTACAGAGTTTCATTAATGTAATACTGCCGTTTTTATTTGTGACTTTATTTTTACCTTTATTTATTCTTACATGCTGGTGCTTTTTAAAGGGGGGGGACCATGTATTATATTCACCAACTCTGTTAATTCATAGGTTTTGAATTCAGATATCTTATTAGAAAACTTTACCTCCTTCTCTATTTCTAATGTACACTTTTTGGACATTTTATAACTCTTGGTGCTGACATATGTGGGTCAAAGAGAAAAGAATAAACTTAACAGCATTTTAGTTGTAACATTGGAAGCCGCAGAGTTGTATGGGAGGGCGGAGATTGTGGGGTTGAGAAGGAAAATAAGAAAAAATCTGATTTTTGTTTTCTCTAAATTTATTCTTAGTTACCTTTAACATTCCTGAGTTTACTTACAATTTATGGTGAGGAATGCATCATGTAAAGTTTTGCTATTTTAAGATGGATTGGTAGAACTATGTCTTGACGTAGTCTGTGATAGCTCCGTAAAAGTAGTTTACTAACCACTTTTATTACTACATGTAATTTCTGTGGTGTAATGATCTTTTAATGCATTTATTATGTATGAAACTTACATGTTGTAATGATATTTGTTTGGAGGACACTCAACATTATTTTTATAGAATACTTAGAGCCATATGGTCTTTTTCAGATGTCAAGGGGGTGAGATATAAAATTTCTTTTATTTTATATCTTTTTCAGACATAAAAGGGGTGAGAAATGTTAGGTTTAGGTAAGAAGTAGCAACTTCTGGTGCTATTGCCTTGGAAAAACTCATTTCTGCAACCAAATGTTGGGTTAGGAGCATTCCAGGGTTGTTTCAGAGAAAATTATATAGGTATTTAACTTATAAATGACAGAAGATGTTCTTTTAATAAAGGTAGAAAATCTCTGCTGAAGATATTTATTAACCAAGGATTTGTTCATTATCAATTCTGAATCTAAAAAACAAAGGTATTTAAGCATACATATATTTTTTTAAGAATAGAAAAGATGAAACTTGTAATTTGTGTTGGAGAGACAAACTTAAATGAATAATTAGTTTAACATAAAAATTCAAATTGACATATTTAAAGTATAATGGGAGCTCAAAATTTTTCTTAAGAAAAAATTTCTCTATAAGAGAAGTGGTTGATGAGTAGGAGGTTTGCCTACCTCCTTCCTTTGATTTCCTTCTGTCCATTCATTCAATACCAATTTGGCCTCTGCCATTTAATCATTAAGTTCATACCTTTTATTAGTAAACAGGCATGTGATATTGTGAAGAAAAAGTACAGGAAGATATCCAATCTGATTTCTGTAGTAACTTAATCAGAAATGAGCTGTGTTGCTGTTTTTCTTTTCACAGATGCTGCATTTAAGAAAAGGCTGCTTGTTTTGATCCTCTGCTCATTGCTTTTCTTGTGAAGTATTATTAATCCCTTATAGAGGTTGTATTCTTTATAAGAATTTATAAAGGAAAACATAGTTCCCAGCCACTTTTGTATAATGTGAGCAAACAACTTGTGATATGACATTTTATTAATACAAATTCCTTTAAGACCCCGTACAATATTGTACTCAGTTTAACATTGTACTCATATTTCCATTGTTGATTATAATAATGATACTTTTACTTTACAAATATTGCATTAAGGAAGAATAAGGGTTTTTCTGTGGCTCATTTCCATAATCCAGAAGTGAAGTAGCATAGATGCAGGTGGTTGGTAGTTTTTTTTTTAACCTCTTCTGTAGTGATTTAGGTATGCTAGATGTAGTTGAAAAGGAATGGAATAAACCAAATCCTATTGCTGCTTATTTTAGTACTTATTTTAATTCTCGTTCATTTTTAAAAACTTTTTTGTAAAAAAGTTTTTTATTGGTTTCTAGAGAGAGCGAAAGTGATTTGTTATTCCACTTATTTATACAATCGTTGGTTGCCTATATATGCCCTGACTGGGGAGTTAACCTGTAACTTTGGCATGTTGAGACAGTGCTCTAACCAACTGAGCTACCCAGTTGGACCATTGTCATTCATTTTTAATTTTTCTTAGTGATGCACACTTTGTCAGTCAATCTTAGTATATATCTCTTTTGGATGACTACTCTTTTAAACTTTCAAATCTGATGAGAGTTAAAATATTAGGCCATTGTCTCTCATCAGTAGAAAGTCATTCTGTTTTCACCTGCAGTTGTAAAGGTTGACAGGAAGCTCTTCTTTTAAACTACGATTCAGTCAGAAATTGCATTCTGGCCAGCTTAAAATTGAATCCTTCAAGCGTTTTATTTCTAGCTATCCTGTGTAGATAGAGGTAGATTTCATTTAGCCTTGAAGATTAGTCAAAGTCATAACTTAATTACTTTTCCATATTTTTCTGTCCTTTTTTTGTTAAGTATATTGAATCTTTTCTCTTTAAAAATGTTTCCAAGCTTATGTTATTTTTTTTTAATTACCAAGTTCTTGTCTTTAGATAGCTCCATTGAAAAGTGAGATGTTAATGCAGATAATTACAGGATTTATGTACAAAGAATACATAATAGGACGGTGGGGGAGCAAATAATTCTCTGGCTTCACATAAGAAGTGACCTTTGAATTGGAGTCAGTTTGAAGAACAGAAAAACCTAGACCCAAAACTGTGTAAATTGTGATGAACAGGGAAAAGGTGAAATTGGAAAGGAAGTACAGGTCAAATCGATAAGGCATTATACATGTGCCATTAAAAGGATTTTGGACTCTGTATGGTGAGATACAAAAAAAAAAAAAGGGAAGAACTCTAACCAGATTTATGTTCTTGATTAGCCGAGCAGGAGTAACTTGTGGGAGAACTCCAAATGTCTGTTCCCAGACCAAGCTTCTCATAGTACATGAAACTATGAGAGTGTACTAGATAGAGAGTGCTTGAAATAAAAAGAGAAAGCAGCTAAATAGAGCACACTGGAAAGCACCATTATTGCAGGAGTTGGAGAGAAGTTATGAAGACCTGAGGGGGGAAAAAGGCAGGGAAACAAATGAAGAGTAGAGTTGTGGAAGCCAAGAGAGAAGTGGTTTGCAGTCTCTAATGCTACAGAGATATCAGGTAAAAAGTGTTTAAAATCATGGTGAATAAACTCAGCCAGCAGAAATCAGATTCCTTTTGGTTGAAGAGTAAGACAGGTAATGAGAAACTAGTGTTCTTTCAAGAAACCTGGCTCTGAAGAGGAGAGATCAGAAAGCAAAGATTTACCAAAACAGTTTTGCTACAACTATTAAGATGTTCATTCAATTGAAATGCTTGTTTAGTTTCTAAAATACTTGGCAGTGATTCCCATTCTTGAATTGGTCATTAGGAAAGTTTAAAACCTTTGCAAGTTGCTTGTCCTTAAGTTACTAAACAGAAGAAACATTTGGTAACTGTAATGCTATATTCTAGCCAGTTCAAATGATCTGTTTTAAAACCACATAAACTACTTGTCTTTTGTTAATTTGTAGGTTGGAAAGGTGAGGTGTAACAATTCTCATATGTATAAATTGTTTTGAATAAAAATTGTAGTTTGGAAGTTTGTAGCCATTTCCGAGAAAGAATTTGTGCTGTGTTTATCAGTATGTTACAGAAGAAAATAACAAAAGTAACTGTGTTACATATCCTTATCTTGAGGGGGAAATTAGTTTAGAAGATACATTTTGAATACTATTTAAATGTTTTCTTTTTTGTTATATAGCTGCCTTCATTGTGTT